AGCTGTTAGAAAATTCTTTTCGTGTGATTTGATGAAGAACGCATTCCGCGGAAACGGTTCGAAACCGTTTTTGTGTCATGTCCTATAGTGTAACGCATCTTCTCCGCTATGATTTTTGAAGCACTCATCGACAGTTTGGCCGAGTGGTCTAAGGCGCTGGCTTAAGGCGCCAGTCCGAAAGGGCGTGGGTTCGAACCCCACAGCTGTCAGCCTATATACCTGACTGGTCTTATATTAAGAACCGAGACCCTTTCAGAAGCGAGGTAGTGCAAGACCAAAACCTTTTGATCGATATTGTGCCATCGCACCTCGCAGAATCCGTTCAATCCATTTTCTGTGTCCTCTGGTTTGGCAGAGCGATGCATCACCTCGGCTATGAATCTTGAAGCGCTCATCGACAGTTTGGCCGAGTGGTCTAAGGCGCTGGCTTCAGGCGTCAGTCCACAAGGGCGTGGGTTCGAATCTCACAGCTGTTAGAAATTTCTTTTCGTGTGATTTGATGAAGAACGCATTCCGCGGAAACGGTTCGAAACCGTTTTTGTGTCATGTCCTATAGTGTAACGCATCTTCTCCGCTATGATTTTTGAAGCACTCACCGACAGTTTGGCCGAGTGGTCTAAGGCGCTGGCTTAAGGCGCCAGTCCGAAAGGGCGTGGGTTCGAACCCCACAGCTGTCAGTCTATATACCTGACTGGTGTTATATTGAGAACCCAGACCTTTTCAGAAGCGAGGTAGTGCAAGACCAAAACCTTTTGATCGATATTGTGCCATCGCACCTCGCAGAATCCGTTCAATCCATTTTTTGTGTCCTCTGGTCAACTCCTTATTTATGGATTTACTGTAGCCACCTATATTGTGTTCAGTAATATGGAGGTTTGGGTGGTTGCCACTGGTTTATCAAACCCGTGGCGCTTCTAAACTTTATCTCCTATATACAACATCCTAGTTATAACACCAGGTCAACCACGAAGGTCAATAAACTAGGGTGTTGTGAAACCACTCAAATGGAGATAATCTAGAAGCCCTCCATAAAACTTAGAGAGAAAAAAGAAAAAAAAATAAAACATTATAGTTGAGTTTCCAGGAACACCACGAGGAGGTCTCTGAGCTCGTTCCCATCTAACAGTAAATCTCAATACATTCGTCCTTGAACTAGCCCCATAAATGGACCTTCATTCAACTCCTTATTTATGGATTTACTGTAGCCACCTATATTGTGTTCAGTAATATGGAGGTTTGGGGTGGTTGCCACTGGTTTATCAAACCCGTGGCGCTTCTAAACTTTATCTCCTATATACAACATCCTAGTTATAACACCAGGTCAACCACGAAGGTCAATAAACTAGGGTGTTGTGAAACCACTCAAATGGAGATAATCTAGAAGCCCTCCCAATAAACCGCCCAAACCAGTTCATCAAGTTTCCGACATCAAGTTAATGTCCTCAGCATATGTTGCACTCGAACGCCGACAACTATGACCTGTAAACTTCATCTGATGAAGTTCATCATATCGTCAATTTCTTGCTTGGAGAAATCAAAACGCTTCGACAGTTCCATACCAAGTTGTCGAGCATTCGTCGGCA